TCATTAATTAAGACTATTACCTTTTAAAAGTTTTTAATTAAAGATATAATTTTTATAAATTTTAAAAAAAGATGAAATAGGTGTATAAGATCATATCTTTAATAATTTTTTTTTTAAAATTAGTTTTACCTAGTAAAATATTCTTAATTAAAAAAGTATGATAATTTCAATTCATAAAGAAAAAAAAATACCATATCTTTAAATTAAAATAACATAATTAAAAAAAATAGCTTAACATTTCATATATAAAACCAAATTCCTCCAGCGCGAAGCCATCCACCCACTGAGAGATTAACACAAGAAGCTTTGTCCAGCCATCCTATTCCTGTAACATAAGAGACTGCAAAAGAAGATTAAAAAGCAAAAAAAAAAAAAAAAAGCGCATTACTTTAACTCCATTTATCAACAAAGCCACCAAGCTAAAATAATTTTTTCAAAGAAAAACTGATCAACCAGATATTTGTCCCCCTCAAACAAATAATAATAAAGGTATCCAGTATTCTGTCCCCCAAAAAATGTAACATGCAGCGCTCACATGGTATCAACTTCACAATTCATTGCACAAATTCACCTGTATACCTGCACTAAAAAAACTCCTGTTTTTATCTTAATTTCATATTGAGTCGGGGATTTTGTGTCCTTATGCGGTTGGGGAAGGGGCTTTAATTAATGCCATAAAGCATGTCACTTATCTGTCCAAAATCATCCATGGTACTACAGCAACTAACAAGTGAAATTGTGATTTATTTACCCAAAAAAAAGAGGTAATTTTATTTTTTTTTAACAAAATATCTTTGAAATTGGATAAACATAAGGGTAGAATTGTCGTTTTGTGTTTAAATTATAAGGATAAAAAGGTTTAGGCCTTGTTTTTAAGTTTATATATATGTGCTAATGAAAAGAAATACTCCCCTAAATAGTCCCCTTAATTGGAAAAAGCATACATCCATTCGTTAGGCTTAGTCATTGCGGGCAATCAAAAGAAATTTCTACTAAATAGTCCCCTTGGAAAAGTTGTCATTGCGTGCAACTCATGTCTCATCGTGTTAACCGAAATTTCCACTAAATAGTCCCCTTAGAAAAGTTGTCATTACGTGCAACTCATGTCTCATGGTGTTAACCGTGAGTGGGTAACGACCCACCTTGGCCGCAAAAGAAAAGATGTATGGAATGGATGTGTACAACTTGTTTCTTAAGAAGTCCTTTGTACATTTTTATATAGTATCAATGATAATTGAAAATAATCTAAATGAACGAACTTATTAAAAATTATGTATAGAAAGAATTTTTTTTTTCATTTATAACATATAAAAATATTAAATTAAAATATATATAAAAGTCAAATTAAATAAATTCAAAAAGACCAAAAGGAGTAGTAACGTCAACATTTTTTGAGTGATAGATTCCTGCATACAATTAGGTCACCAGCTAGTTTTATTAGATCAAAGTATTTCTACCAAGGTCACACCAATTCCATGTGTATGGAATGCTTCCCTTTTTCTTTGTAGGTGATACTTTTCTTCATGGAAATAACCTGCAACGACCAAATGAAAAAAAAAAAAATTACTATTCAAAATTGAAAGATTCTTTTCTTTTTTTCTCCCGAAATTCAGATTTGATGGTTTAGTTACACCATATTTGATGGTGGCCAGAAAATTGGTGGCTGAAGAACTGCAGTAGTCTTATTTGCTTCATATTTCCAGGACAGCAAAATGACATAAGTTGAATTAA